TCAGTGCCTCATGCATGCTAGGCAAGTGCTCCACCACTTAGCCACCCCCACCCCACCCCCAAATTCTTGACCTTTACGCTTCATTAAATCCAGACAAGTAAACATCAAGCATTTACTTTATACTTAAACACATATAATAATGTTTTATGCATATTATCTTATTTGTTCCTTACCATCCCTATTTTACAGACAAAATTGAGGCACAGAGAAATTAAATAAATTGCTGAAAGGACATACAGTTAATAAGCCCAAGGTGTTGTGGGTCCAGAGCTCTAGCACTTAACCACTATGGGCCTTTGTTGGTATTAATTAGACCAGATCCCACCTACAGTTTGATCCTAGTACAGAGCATTGGTATTCTTTTTTTGGTTTATGCATATTGAGAAGTGCTTTGTTCATTGTGYTGAGGCATCACTTCAGAAACGGTACTTGAGCAGCATTCCTGGCCAAGCCGGCCTTGTGGACTTCACTATTAGATGACGCTTTCTTCGCTAATAGCAATTTTTCCATTCTTGGGCTATTGCCTGCAGTTTAGGTCAATAAGAACAATTCAGTTTCAGTTTCCTTTAGTGCTATTGCATGTGTTTGAGCAATTCATCCACCAATAATAAGGTGATTCTTGCCTGTTTTCCAGGCAGTTCTCAGTGGAGGCATGAATGTGAAATATGGGTAAAAAGCCAAAGCACTATTTGAAGAATGCTGTTTCTAAGGATGGTGGTTTATGGACCTTTCTTTTCTATTTGTTCTCAAGGGTGTTTGTTCTGAAAAGGCAGAAGGTTTTGCAGCAGCAGGTGAGAAATTTCATTAAGAAGAACAAAACTGGGCTGGGGTTGTGGCTTAGTGGTAAAGTCCCTGCCTAGTATGTGTGAGGCACAGGGTTCGATTCTCAGCACCACATATAAATAAATAAAATAAAGGTCCATTGACAACTAAAAAAAAAAAATAAAAAATAAAAAAAAGAAGAGCAAAACCAGAAAACTTACTTCATCTTTCTTTCCCTTTCCCCAGAGTCTGAATGGTGTTTGGTTGAACAGAGAGCGCCTGGAACCATTAAAGCTTTATTTCATCCATAAGGGAGACCACATCCAGCTTGGGGTGCCTCTGGAAAATAAGGAGAATGCAGAGTATGAATATGAAGTTACTGAAGAAGAATGGGAGAAAATTTATCCCTATCTGTCCCCAAAGAGTGACCGGATGAATGAAAAAAATAAGGACTTGAGAACTAAAAGGAAATTTAGTTTAGATGAATTGGAGGGTCTTGCAGCTGAAGGCCCCTCAAATTTGAAATCCAAAATAAGTAAAGTGTCATGTGAACCTGGTGAGCCACTGAAGTCAAACGGGAAAGGTGAACCCTCTGAATATTTGGATCCTAAGTTGACTTCTCTTGAAGCACATGAGAAGACCCCAGGGGCTAGTATTTGCCCTGGCCCTCCCAARGTCATGGAGCTTCATCAAAARAAGCAGAAAGCCTCAAATCCTTCAGCATCTCAGAGCAGCTTAGAGCTGTTTAAGGTGASCATGTCCAGGATTCTGAAGCTRAAAACRCAGATGCAGGAAAAACAAGTTGCTGTTCTGAATGTGAAAAGGCAAACCCAAAAGGGGAGCTCAAAGAAAATCATGAAAATRGAGCAGGAACTGCAGGACTTACAATCCCAGCTGTATGCGGAGCAGGCTCAGCAGCAGGCAAGAGTAGAGCAACTAGAAAAGACTTTCCAGGAAGAGGAGCAGCATCTCCAGGTACACAYTGAAGGGAAGGCAAGGTTGCCCATCAGTGGGCTGTTACTTTGGGAACCTCTATCTAGAGCTGTCTATTTCTGGTCCAGAGACCAAATGTTTGAGTACCAGAAACAGGAGATAGAATGGGAGAAGAAAGTTGAGAAGGGGGTTAAAGTTTGAGCATGCTGACCAGGAGCCAGACTTGGGGGGTGTCAAGATATAGGGAATGATGACTGAAAGAGCCAGCTAGAGCATAACTGATCTCAGGATACAAGCCAAGGTTTCTCAGAGCCACTGTCAGGTGAAGAAGTTGGATGAAGGTCAGGATGGCACAAAACCACATTCCACTCCAATTAAGCCAAGAGTTGACCTCACGACTTATCTGTCTTTGCKCAATGATCAAAGCCAAATCACTTAGCTGCAAGGCAGTAGGTCAGCTGGTTACTCTGCCCTTGTACCTGACAGTTTGTTAGCTCTGAGGATGAGTCCACTCTGTAGCTAACCTAAGAGGTCAGAGGCTAGAAAAACAGAAAATGTTTTTGTTTCAGTCTTGAGCATCCAGCATGCAGAGGGCARGGACACCATGTCTCTGGTATTATGTTGAAATGATAAGCCACTTACTTTCCTTTACTGGGATGACTGTCTTGGTGGTGTCAAAATAATGCTAAATGTGTTTCCATGCCTGAATCATTTGCTTAGATGACAAGCTTTTACACAAGCTTTAGGCAAACCTGATTCTGTTCCTACTCAAAATGTCAGTTCCCATCTGGCAGGAACCACACATTACTCCCACCCATTTGCTCAGGTATCKTTGAATGTCAAGAATTCTCCGTTGTTGACTTAGAAATAAGAAGGACCAATCACAACTGAAGTGAATAAGCTTTTATTTTTGCTTAGGTTGCTCAGGGCAAGGAAGAACAACTGGCTTATTTCTGAACAATTTATAAATTTCATTCTAATTTCTGTTATCCCTTTAAGCTGACTAATAGTAGCAGAGAACATGGATTAAGAAGCTCTTTTTTAGGGCTGGGGCTGAGGCTCAGTGGCTGAGCGCTTGCCTCAAACATGTGAGGCACTGGGTTCGATCCTCAGCACCACATAAAAATAAATAAACAAAGTAAAGATATTGTGTCCATGTTTAAAAAAATATTTTTTTAAAAAATGAAGCTCTTTTTTAGGGTATATACTGTTGCATGTGTGTACCTTTTTGTTTCCCTTATCTAGCCTAGACTAGTTCTTTAGATTAATAAAGGGTGTTTTATCTCTACGTATTTAGTGTTTCAAACCTTCACTGGATCAGAACCCTCTTGAAGGGATAATGTGTTCAGGAATAAGAGTTACTCTTTGTTTTGTGATGGTGGGGATTAAACCCAGGACCTCAYGCATGCTAGGTAAGCACTCTACCACTGAGCTACATCCTGCACAGTTACTGTTAATATTTGTGGCCACTCTGTATGCTTCAAGGTATAGGTGCAAAACCTATTCCTGTAGCCAAATGTTAACGAAAGGTGAAAAAACCTGGTTTAGAGAATTTCTCCAGGGGTCGTGTATTAATGGCTCAAAGCAAAGTGTATATAGTCCTAGCTGCATTTCCCTCTGCCCACCCAGCCCTGGGGATTTAGCCTACCCCTGCTCCTTGTTCAGAAGTTCACATAGATTTTTTTGTTGTTTTTGTTTTTTGGGTAACCATGATGCCTGGCACTAAGAAGTTCTGCTGGGCAAAAAATGCTTAATAAATGGTTTTTACCATTAAGTAATTCATCCTGTTGAAGAGACAAGATGTATTATGCACATAATATAATAGGAAAACAGTTTTCATTGAGTTTCTAAACCAGACGACAATTTCATGTGGGCATACTAAATGGGTAGATAATTCTTAAGGAGGGAAGAGCCCAGAGGTTCTTTTGGAAGAAGCTGGACTAGGTTAATGAGATTGTGGAAGGCTTGCATTATCGCAGCCTTGGCGGACGCTCACACCGTCAGGTGGAGGAAATATAACATAAGCTCATGCTGGGGGATAGGAAGACTAGTTTATAAGCAAAAAGTGGTCTCAGAATGAGGAGACAGGGTGACCAGAATTTAGGGAAAAAACATAGAAGATCTGAGTCCCAGCATTAGACATTATGTCTGAGTTTAGATTCAGAAGTTCTCAGTTTATATCCTTTCGGGTGTCTTGGCATTAGCCAGTGAAGGAGGCATGGACTGTTCCAGAACCACCCAAGTGGTGGCTTGAAGCTGACAGTCCTGAGGTGTGCAGTGTTTGTGGGGATAACTGCTCAAATCCTTTACTGCCATAAGCTTTAGGTGAGAGTGAAGAGATTTCCGCCTGCTCACTGACCTCTGTTATTTCCAGATTCCAACACTAGCTCATCGGTTCTGCTCCTTGTTGGGTTTTTCCCCCTTTTTTATAGGAAAACCTTTCATTTTGTTTTGGCTTTGCAGGGTTTGGATAAAGACCAAGGAGAAGAAGATCTCAAGCAACAGCTGGCCCAGGCTCTGCAGGAGGTAATTTATCTCTTGCTTCTGTAAGGAGATTGTAGAGTAGCCGGGCATCACATGGCCACTAGCTGCCCCTGTGGCTTAGCCCATACCTCTGCAGCTTCTCTAGTCTGCAAACAGAGCAGGTGGCAGATGCTCACACCATCAGGCTGGAGACTTGGAGCCTCACAGATATGCCAGATCTCAGTATGAAAACTTACATCTTCATCTGAGCAGAAGTTGCTCTGGTGTCAATGGAACCGAGTCTGTAGCAATTAGGAGGCTCTCTGGGGAAGTGGCTCTACTTCAAGAATAGTGAGGGCAGCCGAGAGGAAATGTGATCTATGACTTGGCCCTCAGGGCTTGTGAGGGCCTCTAAGCCTCATCATCCCTGAGCTGTGGCCATCCAGAAACCATTCGAGAATGTTCTAATTAAGCATTTTCAGTCAGATTGAAAATGTGCAGTTTTAATGGTCACCAAAACACATTAAATCAACAGAAGAGTAAAGCTCACAGGAATAAAATTCCTCTATAAGATTGCCTATAATTTATTTCATTCAACTTGGCTACTTCTCCCATTTGATTATTTTATATATATATATATATATATATATATATATATATATATATATATATACACATACATACACACACACACACACACACACACACATACATACATACACTAGTTGTAGGTGGACACATTTCTTTATTTTTTTATGTGGTGCTGAGGATCAAACCCAGTGCCTCACACTTGCAAGGCAAGTGCTTAAGAATATGGAACGCTTCATGAATTTGCGCGCCATCCTTGCACAGGGTCTATGCTAATCTTCTCTGAATTGTTCCAGTTTTAGTATATGTGTCACTAAAGCGATCAMCCATTTGATTATTTTTATGTATTTTTTTTGCATCTTTAAAACCTGCTGTATTTTCTGCCTTTTATGTACTACAATTAGTAGTTTGATAAAAGTTTACTTAGATTAGTGGGGTGACTTGAATTTCCTTGATGAAAGTTAGTAAACTGGGTCTTACCGTACTAACAGCTACATTGTTTAGAAGCATGACAGGGTGCCTGCCTTAATTTCCTTGAGGGGTCCACAATTAGCTTTGGAAAGAATTGGGTGAAAATCAATTTAGTCTTTTTGGAATTTTATTTCCTGAGCTCTTTTATTTTTATAGAGTGGGARGGTAGGCATGTTTCCCATTTGGAGCATTATTAAATTAATAATTTTTTTCCATCAATTGGGAAAGAGTAAGGTTCCATGAGGATCATTGAATTCCCTGCACCCACAACCCCTCACCTTGCCCTGAGGCAGACAGGAAAACACTTATGTCAGAGGGTGGTTGGGCATGCATTCATCAACCTAAAGTGTGATGCAAGTATCATGGCTCTGTACCATCATGCCTGAGGGCATGCCTTTCTCAACTTGAGAGCAATGGTTGTTTTCTCTTCCATCCTTCCACCCTCCTGGGCCTTCTGAAGTTCCTAGGCCCATAGAAAATTTTGTATTTCCAAAGAGCTTCTTTTTTTTATACTGGAGATGAAACCCAGGGCTGCTGAATTTATTTATGTTTTTATTTTGAGACAGGAACTTGCTAAATTGCCCTGGCTGGCCTAGAGTTTGTGATCCTCCCACCTCAGTCTCCAGAGTAACTGGTATCACAGGCTGTGCCACCACCCCTGGCTCCATAGAGCTTTAAAAACTTTTTTGAATGTTTTTCATACCTATTATTTTTTTATCAACACTGGGGTTAAGAGGAGCACCCGTTTTTCCCRTTTTCAGATGAAAAAGTTAAGGAACATAAATCTAATTAGTGGTCAAGATGAAGAAGAGGCCTCTGACATGACTTATTCCAGGAGATCACACATTTAAACTTTTTGTTTCTTGAGGAATATCTTTGCAGAAATGCTTGTCTTTCTCCACTTCTTCTTTTTTTTTTTTTTTTTTTATTAAAGAGAGAGAGAGGAGAGAGAGAGATTTTTTTTAAAAAAATATTTTTTATTTTATCAGCGGGCACAACATCTTTGTTGGTATGTGGTGCTGAGGATCCAACCCGGGCCGCACGCATGCCAGGCGAGCGCGCTACCGCTTGAGCCACATCCCCAGCCCCTCTCCACTTCTTTTAAAAAATAATTTGAGGTGAGATTCTAAAAAATAAGCTATGCTTACATGTGAAAGAACTCACAAATTTTCTTCCTTTCGTTTCTCCTCCCTCCCTCCACCTCTAGCATGCTAAGCACGTCCACGGACTCACACCTCCAGCCTTAACTTTGTTTCAWAGACATGGAACTCCTAGACATTTGCAATGGGCAGTTAGTCATAGTGAATTAACTATTAGTTCTTGGTTATGCCTACTTCTAGAAGACATTGGCAAGGTTCAGGCAACATTGCCTTGTGATTTGTAGAATAAATAGGTTTAAGGTCTTTTTTATTTAAATGAAAATAAGTATCTCATTTCTCAGAATCCTCTTTCCCCCTGAATGTTTGCTGGTTGGTTGGTTTGATTCTGTGTGTGTGTGTGTGTGTGTGTGTGTGTGTGTGTGTGGTGGGGGCTGTTATGCTCAAGTTCGGGACCCCCAAAAGACCACCAGAGACCAAGATTGACGTAAGCAGTAAAGAGGCATTTATTGTGAGCTAGCTCGGTCCTCCATGCATACAGCAACTGGTGACGCTAAGAGGCCCTGAGCCCAGGGTTTGCAGCAGTTTTATACACTCTTTGGGGAAGGCAGGGACTTCTCATACATCATAGCATCTCTTAGCAAATCATCACACACCGCAGTAAGATCATAAAACAACTCTAAAACATGATTAGCACATTCACTGGTGGGAACAAGTTGGGTAGGGGTGATTGGTTAGTACAAGAGGGGGATTCRTTTGAACTGATTGGTTTARGCCATGAGGGGAGTACATGCTGAACTACATGGTTTCCCAACATGTTATCAACCACCATAAACTACTGGGAGGGTCATCTGGCATCCCAGGTATTTTCCCTGTCTCATGCTGATTGGTGGCTGCTAGGGGGTTGCAATGGGTCCTCACCTAGCCTCACTGAGTCAGGGACACCTGGCGCTGCAGATCTCTCCTGTTATTTGTAGATAAACACCTCAGCAGGGTAGGTATGTGCCTAAGAGTGCTCTGTGGGTTTTTCCAAGGATAAGGGTCATGCCCCCTTCCTTGGACAGGCTTTGCTCTGAGGTAGAGGCTGGTTTCTCAAAAATGGAGTCATATCAGTTTCTTATTCCCCGCTTTGTCTGGAAACTTGGGAACCAATCATGGTTCCCTCAGTTGAGGGTCTATTTGGGCAAGCTCTACATCTTGGTAGAGTAACAGTAACCCTC